CCCCCCCCAGTTCGAAATAGGGGGGTAGTGTAGACATACCCCGATTGTAGGGAGTGTACAGGAAAACGTAGCCTTGGGCACCCTGATTGTAGGGAGTGTACAGGACATCAGAGGGCAGGGAAGTTTGTCAGAACACACAATGTCATTCCGGTCTCCTTTCCAAGAGCTGCTGGGATTCTGAACAGCTATTGGAAAGGTTACAGGGGATCAGGGTTTCACAGCCTCTGTCTAACCCACACACCTAGTGTGGTTCACTGTCCCATGCAGTGGCACTTACAGCAAGAGATCAGAACAAGGGAGCTCTACAGCCTAAGCTGGGAGCCAACTGGCTTTATAGCTCAAGCTCTATGCAGTGGTTCCCAAACTTTTCGGCATCACGCCCCCTTTTTGATTTTTGAGAAACCCTCATGCCCCTCTCCCCCACCATAGCAGCAAAACTTGTTGGGGGGAGGGGGGGAAAGGAACTTACCAAGGCTAAAAAACAAAAATACCAGCAAAACTTGGTGGGGGATGGGGGAGGCGATTGACCATGGGCAGGGCTGGATCACTTTATACCCCCCCTGGAATTTCTTCATGCCCCTTCCCCAGTTTGGGAACCCATGCATAGAGGCTCCTATACTAAGCTCCACAGGTCCCTGGTTCAAATCTCCCTAGTGGCAGTTACACTTGCAGAGGAGAGGGCATGCTGGCCAGGACATCCATGATAACCCTTATCCTTATGCAAAGCACTGTTGGAGAAATAGCTTCCAACAAGCCAGGTCGGCATTTTGTGTACAGGTAGTCCCCGAGTTACGCGAATCCAACTTATGTTGGATCCGCAGTTACGAACGGGGATTTTCTCACCCCGGAGGACTGGAGCGGCGGGATGCCTGGTCCCGCCGCCCGCCTCCTCTGGGGCGAGAAAAGCTGCTCCCAGTCTCCCTGGTCTGCTGGGGGAGCCAGCAGACCAGGAAGACGGGGAGCAGCTTTTCTCACCCCGGAGAACGTGGGCGGTGGGACCAGGCGTCCCGCTGCTCTAGTTCTCCGGGGCGAGAAATCCCCGTTCGTAACTGCGGATCCGAC